CATGGCTTATTTTAATATTAATATAGGGCACACGCGTGTGTTTGAAACTAAATATAAGCATTTTCATCGTGGTTTTATTTATTACAATTCATAGGCCTATTCTTTCACCATCATTACACATTGAGGCCCTTCTTTTAGGTAAAACGATTTTTGGGACTATTATGTTTTTAAATAACTTAGAAGGCAAAGGAGGGCAAGCACAAGCTTTAACCCTAACAAATGCGCGCAAAGCGCGCGAAAAATTGTTGTGTTTTTAATTCTAATTTCGTCGGAATTGATCAAAACTCCCTAATTGTGCAATTTTTATAGGAAATTGGCCTACCTCAACAAGAAATGCTCTTATGTTATATGGCCACACTCGTTTTTTTAAAAAAAAACTGAATATAAGCATTTTCCTTATGGCTTTATTTATTACAAACATATTCTTTCAACATCATTACACATTGAGGCTCTTCTTTTAGGTAAAACGATCTAGGCCTATCTTAAATTTTCTTTCTTGAGTTTCGGACTATGTGTTATAACCTAGAAGGCAAAGGAGAGCAAGCACAAGCTTTAACATTAAAAAGTGCGCGAGAAGCGCGTGAAAAATGTTTGTTTTTTTAATTCTAATTTCGTCGGAATTGATCAAAACTCCCTAAAATGTGCAATTTTTAGAGGAAATTGGCCTACCTAAACAAGAAATGCTCTTATGTTATATATGGTCACACTCGTTTTTTTAAACTGAATATAAGCATTTTCCTTATGGCTTTATTTATTACAAACATATTCTTTCAACATCATTACACATTGAGGCCCTTCTTTAATAGGTAAAACGATTTATCTTAAATGTTCTTTCTTGGGTTTGGGACTATGTGTTATAACTTAGAAGCCAAAAGGGAGCAAGCACAAGCTTTAACATGAAAAATGCGCGCAAAGCGCGCGAAAAATTTTTGTTTTTTAAATTCTAATTTCGTCGGAATTGATCAAAACTCCCTAAAATGTGCAATTTTTAGAGGAAATTGGCCTACCTCAACAAAATATGCGATTTAAAATTTGAGATTTTCAGGCACTTTCCCGGGTGAAAAGGGCATTCAATGAGGAAAGACTTTCCACAGCTGGATATTTCCCCTTGTCCCCCAGTGATTACGCCACTGCGGAGAATACCTGGCGGCTTAGATCAAATGCGCTATGGACACTTTTTGAAGTGGAGAACTTGTTGCAGGCAGGGGTATTGTGATATCTTTCATTATATCTTCCTTTTTATTCCTGTCTTTATTTTTCTCTTCTCTTTTCCTTTTTCCTTTCTCTTTCTTTCCCCTTCTTTCTCTTTCCCTCCCTTTCCCCTCTCCCCTCTTTCTTTTCTCTTCTTACCCAGCCCGGTACGACAGCTTGGTCAGCCCGGTAAAAACCGTCAGTGGGGGGGGGGGACAGTCTTCCCCCTGCCCCGCCTGTTACGCCACTGTTTATAAGATGAATGGGAATATAAATCATGCAGATCTGGAATCAAATCTAGGTGGTGGGGTCAACATTCCTCCCCAGGGAAAATTTCGATTTCTAGATGGGGAAAGCTTTCCCGACTTCTGAGGTGTCTTTTAATTACTTTTATGTTCTTCAAAATTCAAGGTTTTCCCATCTTGAAAACGGTCTGGTAATTTTTTCCCATTGTTATTACAGTAAATAGGGCTTATGTGTATATACATACATAACAATTTAAAAAAATGAGTAGTTGCATACGAATTTTCCATGAATCGATGAATCCCAAAAAGAAAGGGGGGTCCGGGGGTTCTCCCCAGGAAAATTTTGATTCCTAGAAGGCGGGAAATGAGCTTTCCCGACTTCTGAGGTGTCTTTTAAATTAAAGTCATTAAAAAATACTTCAGAAGTCGGGAAATCTCAT